ATATTTATAGTATATATTTATATATATTAAAAAATAAATTTAAAGCATACGTCAAGTTAGCAATAAAAAAATTTTACATGCAATAGTGTAACTAATAATACCGACAATAGTTACAAAACGATTTGTTAAGTAAAGCAGTGTTGAACTAATCAGCCTTATAGTATTTTCTTATATAATTTAGACTTTTTCATTTTAGTTATTTATTTCATATACGATTAAAAACATATTTATATACATTAATAAAAACTATGCACACACAAACACATTTAATATGGTGCCACATTATACACTAACTACTTCCTTCTTTAGCATAATTTTAGTAAAAGACAAGGGACTTAATATATGTCAAAAACAAATAAATATATTTATAAGATTTTTATAGTAATTAAAATGACAAAAATTGTTATTAAAACATGTTTCAATATATATAAAAAGCATTAGTTAATTAATATATGATTGTAATATGTGCAATTTTTACTTAAAACTAATATTAAGACATAAGTGCTGTAAAGAATTTAAATAAATTAGTATCATTTAAGCAACTAATTGGATTATATTGCTTAAAGGTTATATCTTGAATTTAAAATTTATTTAAAGTTTAGGTAAATCATTTACTAAACTTAACTCATTTACTACTTACACATTAACAATATATAATAAATATTGTACAATTAATTAAATCATTTTATAATGCAAATCATATATACATTCAGATTATGTTAAAAACTTTGTATAATAAAATATGTATTTTATGTTACACCTTATTATGCACTTCACTTATCTCTTATGTTTTCATATATGGCAAGATTGTTAATAACTGTTATGTAAAAAAATCTATATTTTATATAAATTGTATATCATCAGAATGACAATTATAAAAGTTCTGACTATTTCATATATAGAATTATGAAAATTATATGCTTTAATGCATGTTGCAAATTGTAAGAAATTGTGTATACTTAACTTGTAATTACAATATAATGAATTATACAACTACAAAAAAAAGAAATTACAAAATATTTAAAACGTTAAAAATACAAAAATTTTTTAAAATATATACCAATTCAAAATTTATTTAATTACGTATATTATAACAATTTTTATTAACCCCTTTCCATTTAAAGTTTATAATAATACAAAACTATTATTAATTATTAATTTAATATTTCTTTTTAAATCTTTTTTACACTACAAGCTAAAGAAAAATAGCCCACCTTAAGTCGATTATTACAAATAATAATAATTTTAATATTATATTATTAATAAAATTTCATAAAACAATAAAATAAAAAATAACAACACATATTGCATGTTTTTATGCCGTGGTTTAATAATATATGTGTATACACTATATGTTTTATTTAAGTTCCTAAAAGAGTTTAATGATTAGTTTTCATTGTTTAAATCATTTACTCTATATTTTAAATAGATTTTTTTAAACATAAACAATATTTTTTTAAACAAATAATTGAACAGGCGAATGAATCTTAACAGAATGTCGTCAGCACATAGTTAAAACCTATATAACACTGAAATTGTAACCAAAATATATATATATATGTTAAGTATATATCATATTGCATGTTATGTTAAATAAGCTTGGTAATAATACTTACAAAATATTTACAATGTTTTACTGACTCTTCATTGTGAAGAAAAATAGAAAATGTACATGTGAAATAAAAAATGTATCTTTGTAAATTAAAAATGAGCAAGTTTTTGAAAAAGCATTGTAAAATTAAGCTAAATATACTAATAATAATAATAGTATAATATTATATAATAATAAATCGAGTTAAAATTTGTGAATTTTGTTTATGAATGTATTTTTAATTTAAACTGCATTTAAATGTTAAACACCTTTCACTATGCAAAAGTTGCTTACAAATTGTTTATTTATTTCTTGGTGTTGGAAGTTCTTGGGCTTATATGTGATTCATATTCATTGGTTAAAAATGCTTTATCATTGGTTACTGCAAAATGCATAAGATTTAATTCACACGTTGTTATTTGTACAGCATTTGCACACTAACATTGGTTATTTGTGGTTCTTAATACAGTTCGATATGCTTTATTCGCCATTAAATCTCGTAAATGAGAAAATAAAATTTTAAAAACAATTTATTGTTAATAGTTTATTAAGCTATTGTTAAAAATTGATATTAAACTAACACAGGAGTAAGATAGAGGTAGAAATAGTGCTATAAGTAAAGAGAGAGACAGAAATAGATTTTTTTTTGTAAAGTAATCAATATGTAAAAGAGCAAGCACACACCTAGATTAGTGTACTGGTTGTTCAATATGACTCTTTCACTATCTTCCTTCATTATAAAATATCTTATATCACACATATATTTTCGATAAGTTTATTGCTAATATTATTCTTAAGAACTGCCACTACCACTCAGTTACCCCAATTGCTTTTACAATGTTTTGCCACCTATTAAAAGATTAATGCTAAAAATTTGCACATATTTTTAGCACAATAATTATTATAATAATTTATTCATTTATATTTTTCTACAGACAGTGAACTATATGGTAACTCGAATGTATTATCATCCACCTTAAATCCAACAACGTTGGTATCATCATCACCCGAACCAATGCGACGCGATTCTATATTGAAACCACAAGGCAGTATGAAGACGAGCGATAAACGTGTATCGATCAAACAAACAACAAGTGATATAACAATTCCAAACAACAATAACAAAATAATAGCAAATGTTGAATATATATCGGAAATATCTTCGGTAAATAATACAACAGGGCCAAAACCCATAGCTGTTGAAAGACGTCTTAATAAGCCTCCATCAGGTAAAGAAAACTCTTAAGATCTTAAAAAAGGAAAATTTTTATATTGTACTTTATATTGTATTGTATAGATTATAAACATAAGTTTATATAAGAACTATATACAAATTTAAAACAGAGTTATTAATAAGTTTATAATAAACAATAATAATTAATTATGAAAATAATTAAAGTAGGGAATAACTAAATTTAAGTTAACAAATTAAAAAAGTTTGTTTTAAGAGCCTATTTTACAGAAAATGTGGATTATAAAAGGTATAAAAAGAGCTATCTATTAATATTAATAGCAGCTTTTAATTTTTAAACGATGGAAGTTTTAATCGCAAATACATTATCTGAATCACTAAATGTGATATAGATATAATGTGTGTTAGATATAATTAATTTCATTTCTTTTCTATACATTATCCGTATTGTAATTAAATTTCTTTATAATCAAAAAAAATCAAAGAATATTATAATTAATTTTACAGTTTCGATGACAGTTGTAAGATATAATCAATAAGTTTTAGCCATTCTAATATTTATTTAAAGGATTTTCTCTTTCTTATTGAAAAAGACATACATCGAGATATATGTTTATGGGTATATCGATTACGTTTATCCAGCTAGTTAAGATTATGTTTCTTTCACTTTAGCTAATGAAGAATATGTATATTGTACACACTCAGATGTTTCTTTCTCTCTGTTACAGATATATAAACAAAGTTATTATAACCTTTACAGTTGACGTATATAGATTATAGACATAACTTTTATATAATAATATAATCGGAATATAGTGATTGCATAGTTGCAGCAGGGGTTGATAATCATCCATATATCATCAATTCTAATGAATTTAGGCATCGCCTTAATCTAAGTTAAACAAATTCCTTATAATTTACGAACTAACTAGAAGTGGCACATAACTTTCCATACTATTAATTCCAATAGATGTGTGCATCGGCTTAGCCTTATTGCAACGGAATGTTAGCACTGATTATTTCAAAATTACAGCTTAAGAAAGGCGTGAATGAACCCACCGGGACCTGCTTGTGGAGTCCCTTTGGGAGGTGTTGAACGGTACTTGGTCGTCGTAGGTGACGAGTGGCTCCGGGACGTAGACCCGACCGTTCTTGGAATGGGTCCTACTCGCCAGTCGCTGTCCAACGTAATTATCGTACTGATGGGACACTGTATCATAAACAGTCATGGCTTTTTTAAACAAGAATTACGTTAGCTGTAGCTTATAGGATGAAGAGAAGTGTCTCGTTAGAATATGTTTATCCACTTTAGGGTCTCCCTTTCTTAAGCGTCTGCTTGATATTACAAATGTAAGAATTATATAGCCAGTTCATTAAAATAACAGGGGTCTTCCGGTTTGAAATGGGTCGCTCTGAAACAACTAACTTCTTTATTTGTCAAATTTATTTGCAACTCTATTTCGAATATTGGTGATATATTCATAAAACTACATAAAATAACTTTGTATAAACATAATTACATATTTTTTACGATTTCTGTATATTGTTTTTAAAAAAACATGTCACAAAAATTGAGGTTTTGCAAAGGAACTGTATAAAAAACTAAGAGATCTTTATCTTTTTTTGTTTCTGTAGTGATTATGTATTTTGCAAGAAATGTAGAATATTAAAAAGATTATTTTTTGTAAAAAACCATGACATGATAATATTCTTTTATCTAAATTTAAATGTAATAATAGTAATAAAGACTTGACTAATAATTTTTTTGTAGTTTAAGGATGTCCACAGTTCTATCTCTTTCTCAAATAATTTATAAGATTCAATAACTTGGAGTATCACATATTATAATCCGATGTAAGCGATATCTGACACTAAATTGTGTGCAAAATTTAATATTATTAGAAATTAGTGTATATTCTGTCAATAGTCTTTTATCGATTTCCTGAAATCCATACTCTTTATTGAAGTGTGTTTTAGTAAAAATGAGTGTAAGACAAAAATAATTATGTAAAAGAATAAGCTGAACTTAGTTTATAAGATTATAAAAAATTTTTATTTATATACATAATAACATAATAAAAACTTTTTATAGGACCACGTCCAGCTTCTCTGGTCATCACGAAAAATGACAAGAAGTCTGGACAATATAGATACAAAATGACACGTTCCTCGTCTGTTGATTATGAAGATATCGAAGGTCAACATCAAACAAATAATGCCAACAAACTGACATCTGAACAAATGCAAGAAGATGAATCGGCGCCTTTAGTATTCACAGTGCACAAATGATCCATCGTTTGTACATTCACAAATGTGTTGTGTCTCCAATAGTTTATTAACAATATTTTTAGCTTTAAGCGAGTGTAATGTGCATATTTAATGAATTTTCACCAAAGGAATTGTTACAAATTTTTTTAAGGAATATGTTATTGTTTATGAGTAGATATATTTTTGAAAAAAAAAATTTTATTTAGCCAAATATTTATATATGTTGATATTTATAAAATAGCAAGTAAATGAATATATATATATATATGTACAATATAATAATAAAAAGCCTTTTCAGTGAGTGACGCAAACGTACTTAAACAAATATATAATAAATTAGTTAGTTAAATCAAATATGAAATTAATATTGTTAAAATTTATGAGCGAGTTGTTAAAGCTTTTCTAAATTATGCGTATATATATTATTTAATTGAGCAATAAAACTATTTAGTGATAGAATTATATATAATTATATACAAATTAATATATAAAAATAAAAACGATTCAAAGACAATTTATTTAAACCCAAAAAATACATTATTTTTTATTTTTAATATAATATTTTGACATAATATTTTATATAAGCGATGATTTTTAATAACAATACAATACTCTTATAACGTCCCTTTTTTGTTTCCATGTCTAATTGCATATAAAAACTTGCAACCAATAAATTGATGGTATCGCTCTGTCGAGATTTAGAAAGATTCTATTATGTGGACCCAGTTTATTCTTACTTTCACTTTATAACCTATCATTATCTCATTCTACCTAATTGTGCAAGTTTAGTCAACTATTGTCTATTTTTGCTAACGGATCAGCTTGAACGACAATAAAAACAATATTAAAATATAAGTTAATCAGTAATATAGAGAGTCCCTTTTTTTTACAGTAGGTGGAAAGCATCGAAAACCAAAGTGTGAGATTTCAACGCACTAAAATCACCTCTAAGGAATGAGTTGAGAAGACCTGAGGTGTCAAAATTAAATAGTCATTACTGGTTTCATGCCAGTAATCAGAGGTAAAAGTTAGAAGAAACTTAGTATTTATGATTACAAATATATCTAAGAATCTGTTGTCTATGTAAGTTATCAACATGTTGCTATAAAGCTTTTCATACATCAAATAGCACTATATGTAATTTTTCCACTAATATAAGATTTGTAAACATGTAATTCCTCTATCCCGCTCTTCAGATTCATACTGAAAACTCTAAAATATATGTTTCTTTCAAGCATTATTCGTTTCAATTACAATGGACTTACATTGCCTAAGTACAATAATAATTTTATCATACTTTACGATTAGGTATAATTGTACTCAGACCATATGAGCCCATTGTATTATAAACGGATAACGCTTGAAAGTAATTTTAGAATTTGAAGTCTGAACATGGAGAGCACAGTGAGGATAAATGCTGTATATATATAAATAATATTATATATAGGAGAATGAAAAAAAGAGCGTATTTGGTTAAACTGGTATGACCGATTTATATAAATTTTATAGATATATACGATTCTTTATATATTTATAACAAATCATATAAGATATATAGGAAGAATGAAATATATGAAATGAAATATATAGCTCAATATGTAGCCCTATTGCTTTGTGTGTGATTAGCAGTATATCTATGTCTTTATCTCAAGGACAGTTTGTCTTTACCACGTTAAAATTCTTCAACCGGTTAAAGTTTTTTTTGACAAGAACTCACAAATTTACTAAAATAGAGTACTAGTGAATGAATTTATGTATTTTTGTTGGAAGCCTTGAGAACAAAACATCACCTTAAATATTAAATTAGAAGACATCAATGCTATGAACTGTACTGATGCTTCACACATAATATCTTTATAATTAAAACAGTTTACTGCATGCAAAAGTAGTCTAAGTTATATAAAATTTAAAGAAATGTTTAATATGTTAAATATGTTTAATAAATGAAAAAAAAAAACAAGGAAACAGTATGTCCATTAAAGACCTAAGTCAATAGCTGCATTCGGTCGCTCTGAAATGTGGAAAAAAAACAAGTCTCTTGTTAAAATCTCTAATTTCTTACCAAAACAACAACACTACTCTCTTGCACTGACAAGCTAGCTACGAAGTCTCTAATCGTCTACGAGAGTGCAGACAAATTATTTACCAGAGTGGTAAGCGATCTATTGTGAACCTTTATTGGAAATATTGCAGTTTTCTGTCGAAAGTTTTTTTTAAACAATATTTCAAATAAAAAAGTTTTATAAATTTATAAATTTAAAAATGTAAAAAAAAATATTTTAGTTTGTTTAAATATTTTAAGCGTATATTTAAAAAAAAAATTTTATAAATATGCAAAAGTTTTTAAAGTCGGTTTTTGTTTTTTAATATTCTTAATTTATTTTCGTACGTTATATTTTGTGTATCTCTACACGTGTTTCAGCAAATTCGCCTTTGCCTTCATCAGGCGAAAACCTAATATTAATGAAAGCGAATTTGCTGAAATACGTATAGGAATTCACAAAAAATACGATCTAAATAAAAGTTAAAATCCTAAAAACCAAAACCGACTGTAAGTTAATGCTTATTGAGGCAAGAGACTTGTTCCTTTTTGCCGCATTTGTAATCGCGGTAAATTCACATAAAATAATATCCAGCCTCATCACATGATATCTTAGTTGAGATTACCTGGCCAAGTTAAGTATTTGACTTAGCCAATATTAAATTCAACTATCCCATAATATAATTTATTAAATTATTAATTAAATAATTAAAATATATTACAAATTATGGTCATTGTTAAATATTTAATTATTTAATATTTTTTAGTGATGGCAATGCTTAAATCATTGCAACTGAGCTTTTCATTGTTAACGCGCTTTTGAAGCACATGTAGACGCCGCATGAATCAATGAAGTAAAATGTAAACAAAACACACACACTAAATAAAACTAACAACAAAAACAATAAGAAAAAATTCCGGTTACAAGTAACTGGTATACTTGACACAGATTATAACATTTCATTACTAAATTGTTTTTGTTTTTTTTTTCTTTTGTTCACTTAAACCAAAACTACCCACAACTTTCACTTTCATTGAGCATTGTTGTTGTCGATTATTGCTTCTAATTTTCATGTTTACGAGAAACTAACACATACACATGACGTCACAAAATATAAACAAAAATGTCATTTCAACTTGTTTACAGAAATTGAAAAGCACAAAATCAGCTGTTTGATAAACTAAAAGGTCACCTTCAAAGCAAGAAAAAGTTTTTTTCTCGCTAATAAAATCAGTTAAAGGAAGAGTTTTAGTAGGTAAAGTGTGTGGTTTATTCTTTAAAAAATATTAAAGTTATATAAAATTAATAATACATGAAATAAAAAATATAAATTTAATGAATATATGCATAAAACTAAAATAATTTTTTAAAAAGAAGACAGTGATAGTAAAGTAATTAAAAGTTTTTAAAATATTTAAATAGATTTTGTGAAAAATACTGCATTCCCTTTAAAAATTAATTGTAAATTAATATGCATGAATATTAAAATAAATAATATTTATATTAACGATATATGTACTAAGTGGAATGGTTTGTTTAATTAAAAAAAAATCCACCAAATAATATCACTCTATGGCCAGCAAATAATTTCCTGATTGTTTTTTCATTATTGGTGCTTCGAATGTGTGTGTGTGTTTGTGTTGAGTTTTTTATATGAAAGTTTAGGAATTTTTGTGAAATATTTTAATTTTTTTTTTGCAAATTTATTTATTTTATTTTTAAAGTTTTATTATCAAGTTTAATTAAAAAAAAATACTGTAAGTAAATCAATTATTTTATATGACATTTATGTGAAGTACACATAAAAAAATTCAATTATTATTTAATTTCTGTTAATTAAACAGAAGGGTTCGCCCTTAAAATATTTTATTTTTAAAAATAATTAAAGCTTGTATTCAATATTGGAACATTTGGGAGACACAAAAATTTTTAAAAATATTTAGAAATTACTTTTATACTTTTGTTTCGAAAAAAAAACCACATGAAGCGATAACATTTTTTTTATGATTAATTAAAAAATAAAAAATAAATATTATTGATAAAATGCAGGTCAGTAATTCACTGATAAATAGAAGTTTACTCAGTGCATTAGTTTAGATTTAAAAAATATTTTTCGCTTTGATTAGAAAAATATTTAAACGAAGCGAAGTCTACACTGTGCCTAAAAGCATTGCATTAATAAATCCATAAATTAGTAATAAATAATGAAAATTATAAAGAATTTTAACCAGATATATATTTTTTTGATTTGCTATAGGGTTATCAAAATAACGCTTTAGAGTTGGAGATTGAAATACAAATTATATTTATTAAATTTTTTGAATTTTATTTAATATTAATTAGAAAAATATATAAACGAAGTGAAATATTATTACAATCAAATATAAAAAACAATATTATTTAATTTGGTACATTGAATTTATTTATAGACTATTTAAAAAATCTCCATTAAACTTTGTTAGTTTTTTATATTCATCTGTAAAGAAAAGAAGCTCCATTAAAACCATCAAACTTTTATGAATGTTATATATTGTTCAAATTTGTTCACTAATTTGTCATCTAGATTAGGTTAGGTTGTACCGGCAATACCAGGGGGATCCACTTAGGCCTATAGTGATACAGTATTATTGAGAATCCATGGGCTAAAACCATCTAGAAGATTTGTCACATATATAGCCCACAATATTGTTGGGCATTGGCTACGAATTGAATGTACAAACACCGTGAACAGTCAATGTGTAATATTCCCCATTTTTTGCTGAACATCTTGCAGGAATAAAAAGCTACACAGGTCCTTTTCACTTATACATTTCCAATTTAGCTTACTATCCAACTATTGGGTTTCTTCCTATAGTTTTAACTATTGTCCATTTAATAAAGGAAAATCGAAAGCCGGTATTTTGGTTTGGTGGTGTACATCAACATTCCAGTCTTTCCTGGGTTGATACTTAGTCCACAAATTGGCGCCAAGTACATGTACGAGGGAATATCAGGGAACATATCTGAAACTAGAATAACCACATCATCTGCATACCTTTAAACAAATTTATGATTAAAGATGATTAAAATGTGTCTGTGAGT